ATTTCTACATAGTAAAATTCTACTGTCTTTGTAAACAGTGAAATGAAACAATGTGCCCTGGGCTCATTGGCAATGAGGATTGAGAAAGGTTGAAAAATAAAAGAAAGGCAAATATTTATCAAACAAATACAAACAAAAGGAAAGCAGGGATGGAAATTTTAATTCCAAGCAAAGTCAAACATAAAGCCAAAAGCATTTAAAGCGGCAAAAGTGTTGGCAAGAGGTAAGATCCTAATAAAGATCATACAGTCAAAAACTTATACATGTAATTATGTTTCCTCACATGAGAAAAAGCAAGAACTGTCTGAGACACAAGCAAAAGCTGAAAGAAGCACAATCATTTGGAAAGTTTATATCACATCCCCATCCTTTTACAGAGCAGGTAGAGAAATCTAAGCAGGTAGAAAGGAAAATGTAAATATTATAAAAAGATGAGTAGTCAAAAGTTTGAATGCTGTCATCAGCCCATGTCTGGGAAGAGGCAATCATGTTCTTCATCTCCAGAATGTGTGTGCCACCAGCTAAAGTCAGAGAAGTTAAAATCAATTGTTCCATTGTATCTTTGTGAATGGAAGAGCAGAAATCCTTTGTAGGAGAAACCACATGCCCATCAAAACATTCTTATCTGTTGGTAATTTTTTCTGTTCTTGTGAATTTATGAAATAGAAAACTAACATCCCTGATTATATTCAAGTTAATCCATCTACTTGGGCAAACTAACATATTAATGCCTGGCTTATACCTCAAACACACTCCAAATCCCATTATGTTAATAAAAAAAAAAAGTACACTTCCCAAAGCCATCAACAAAAATGTAGGGATTGTCGCTCCCCCACTCGTGGAGGAATGACACCGGACCCTGCACTGTTCTCTTTCCCCAGCCCTTCCCGGGTTTGCTGCCCCCCCCCCCCCAGGAGTGGCACACCGCCGGTCGGCTCTCTCAGGGGTTCCTCAGCTGTTCCTCCTGCATGTTGTCTCTCTCCTCCTTTATAGACCTCTTCCACCAATCCCAACTCTGCTGGCGTTCTCTCCCCACGCGCTGAGCACGCTGCTCTCCTCCAATCAGGGGCAGGATCAGCTCCTGCAGCTTGTTAGTCGAATTGGTGAGGCAGCTGTGTGGAAGTTGCTTGCTCCCTCTCAGCACCATATGGTGGGAGATCAGATGCATAGAGTTAGTCTTAGCAATTCCAGTAGTTTAGTCTAGTCTTGGTAATCTCAGTATTTGTCCTCAGTATTTATTTGTCCACAGTCTTAGTACTTATTTGTCTCCTGGGGGACGGGCCCTGCCATGTTGCGGGAGACGGACCCTGCTCCCCACAGGGATGGTTGGAGATCAGTCTGGTCCCAACAGTGTGGCAGGCAGTGTAGAGCCTTTCCCTGAGTGGCTAGAGCTGGAAACAGCTGGAGAGTAAGAACAACCTGAGCTCTTAGTGAGCACTGATGACCACAAATAGGAAGACTAAATTTGGTTTTCAAAACTAAGGGGTGCGTGATCAGTAGACCAAGCCCCAAGGGTCACAAATTGGGAAGTCATCATAACTGAATGAGAAACAGAGGCAGGAGACAAAACAAAGCCAAAGAGGTCAGGGAATGAAGAAAAAAGTGCCTTGTATTATTCTCTTTCATATCACTCCATTTCTTATTTGCCATATTTCAGAAAACAAAGAGTATATGTTTCAGGTTTTCAATGATATTTCTCAATTCAATGCTAACACATTTTGCAATCAGGAGGAAATCCATACAGATTTTTAGGGCCAGTCTTGGATTTTTGTACTTGAAGAGTTTTCACATTTTATGTATTTAATCAGGAAGCAATTACTTTGTCTAACACAAAGATGATGATCATTTCTGGGGGGCAAGACTTAGGTATACTGGATTTCTGCTGAGATTCTGTAGTAAAGACATATTATTGCAGGAGGGAAAGGTAACTGGTCATTAATGGTTAAATAAAAGAAATGCATTTTCTAGTGCCAGGCATCTGTCAGTTCTCTCCTGAAAGTATTAATGGAATTCAGGCCACAATGGGTAAGAAGAAGGTAGCCAGAAATCCCTTTCACTGTACCCAGAATTTGAGGATTTCAAATTATGATGTTTCTGTATATACCACTGTGATTTATACAAGGCTGCAAACATTCTTCTATTCTTTGAGAACACATAAGGATTCAGATTTTAAATATATTCACAATGAAAATACGTTGGAACACAGGGAACTATTAGGTTCCCTGTGTATGAAAGTTTACTATATTGCACTAATCTGCTGGCTGAGAACGAAAAGCCAATTTGCATGGCTCCTGTCAGTCACATGTGGTTTGGAAATGCTTATGCATTCCAGATACACTCTGTGTAAACTGGAGAATCATATCCTATTTCTACTGGTTTGCATGCATGCATATAAAACTTGTTTTTCCCACAGTGCCACATGAAAATAAGTGCAGAACTAACAGCAGTGATCACAATTAATCAACTGCTTTGTTGAAGCCTCACGGCTATAATGGTGAAGGGGATCTCTGTCCCTTGTGTCTAGAGAGGTTTTAACTTCTACTTGCTTTACTTTCTCGTTCCTTTCTGTTCTGCAGAATGTTTAAAGACAAAGTCAGCTGTTGTCATGCAGCATAGTTTCTGGTACATATTATGTGCCAGAGCCTCTTGTAGGTACTGAAAGATACTGAGCGGAACTCCTACCATAGGAGTTCAGAGTTTAAGGGAGAGAACAACAAGTAAATAAATAAGTACCATCCAATTGGATAGCTGCTTTTGTACTGTTTGGATTATGTACTGTGTCCTATGGAAACAGGAGAGAATTTGCCAAAACTGCACAGGAGGTGAATCCTGATGGTGGAGTATTTGTTGACGTGAAGAAAGACTGGAAGGCATTCAAGAAAGTAGGAACATTATGTGCAATGCTCATCAAGAACACATGTTGCAGGGACCTGAAAGAAATTCTGTATGGCTTAAGACCAGAAGTAGAGCCAACAGAGAAAACAATTTGAAAATACATGAGAGAGAAGCAATAATTCCAATACTGTTGTTTTACTAGTCTCCATTTTTGTTTTAATATTTGAAGGTGCTTGCTCACTAAGATGATCTTAAAGTTACAGATGAGGGGAAAGTATTACAGGTTAGGCCTCTGTTGGGGATGCCTGCGTAGCTGAGTGCTGGTTTGAGTCCCAGCTGTTCCACTTCTGATCCATTTTCTTGCTAATGTACCTAAGAAGGCAGCAGAGGATGGCCCAAGTGCTTGGATGCCTGTCACCCACATAAGAGATCCAGATAGAGTTCTGAGCTACTGGCTTTGGCCTGCCCCAATCCAAGCTGTTGTGGCCATTTGGGGAATGAACCAGCAAATGCAAGATTCATTCTCTCTTTCTCCTTTCCATATACATAAATTCTTTTAAAAAAGTTGTAAATGAACTAGCTTACATTGCAATGTTCATTATTCAGGAACTGCTTCTTACTTTTTCTCGTTTCTTAGCACTTAGAACAATACCTGGCATACAGTTAGTGCTCGATCAACATGAGCTGATTTCTGCATGTGGCAGAGAGCCGTGACAGTCCTCTGTGAGCCACACCATCAAGCACAGCCCTCCCCAGTGATCCATGCTCTGATGCAAACCCTTTACCTTGAGTATGGGTTGGACTTGCTGATTCATCTCTAATGAAAAGAATATGCCAGAAATAAAGGGCTGTCAAGCCCAACATTATGGTATCAGAAGACTGTGGCTTCCCTCGTGGGTCATCTTTCATGCATTTTCCCTCTCTGGCTCTCTCTCCCTTAGACCATTAGCTGTCATGTCAACAGAAAACTCAAAACTCATGGAGAGGCCCCTGTGGCAAAGTTCTGAGCCCTGTCTATGTGAACATGCATGCTGCCAGCACCTATATGAGTGAGCTTGAGTGTAGCTCTTCTCAGACCTGCCAATAACCAGTCAAGTAAGCTCTGACGTAAGTTCTTCAGCTCCAGTAAGCCTTGAGGTAACTGTGGCCTTGACCAGCAGCTCGACTTCAACTTCCTAGGAGAACTTAAGCCAGAGGCATCCAGCTGAACTACATCCTGATTTCTTACTCCAGAAACTCTGAGATAATGTTTATGGTTAGCCACTAACTTTTGGTATAATTTGCTACCCAGCAAGAGATATCTAATGTCCAATTCTTGCATTGTCTCCTCCCCACCCTTGTGAAGAATGTGTTCTGGAATACCTGGCATGGGCATACCTCCTCCCTGATAATGGAGCACCATCTAGAACTCCAGCGTCTGTGAGCAGGGTCCTGATCACACAATAAGAAGAAGGTGAGCTCACCTCCCTCACTTATGGAGTGCACTCCGCTACCTTTAGTTCCACTCGATTGAGTAGATGGATTAGAGGATGATGCCAGCTCAAAGACAGCACACCTGCTGTATCTGGAGAGCTCTCACCCACATTGTGACAGCAGTTCCTCTACTAGCTGCTGCTGGGAATCCAGTGAGCTCACCTGTCTAGATGAGGACAGTCACAGATGGCCGCAGAAACACATGCAGCAAACGCAGTCCCTGTTTTCCATATAGAACCTTAAGTGATCGTATGATGTGCCTCAGTAAGTAACAGTTCAACTTGCTATATACACTGTCCAGGTGGAAGCAAGTGGAAAAATATACATTGCTTAGGGAACATTGAGTTTTTGGCAGACAATTTTGGAAGTTTATATAACAATGTTGATTTGAAGTCAGTGGTTTTATATGTAAAAAAGATGTTAAGACCTTGTAAGGATGTTAAATATTTACATAAAAATTATGTCAACTAAGGAAAGAAGAGCAAAATGTAAAACCCAAGTGTGCCTTCTACAGATTGTTCTTTGCTTGTTTCCTATGTGTGTTTAAGCATTTCCAAATCCAATTTTTTTTTCAGTTGGTGATTAAACAACCACTGTCCTCTAATATACAGCACTATATACATACCTACAGAAAGGCAGTCCATTCCAGCCACAGGAAAATGGGAAGAGAGAGGAAGAAAGGACCTGCATACCTCTGTCCCTGATGAGTCTGTCCCCTGTTCGCTGGGATGCAGCTTTGAGGAGCTGAAAAACTGATGTGGGAGGGTGTCCTCAGAGCCACCGCTGAGATGCCCACTAGTGGGGAGGAAAAATTCAGCAGCACTGAAGCAGTGTGGTGCAACAGGGCAGTTGTGTGATGGGTCACATTGATAACCACTGGGTTTTGCTGGCATGACAGTTCATAGGTTCCTAAAGAGAAATAAGAGGATACATAATATCATACACTAATCATTGAGTACCACGTGTTCATATGCAGAACTCACTTTGGTCTCTCAACATACAGTATGATATGGGTAAGATTCCAAACAATATCAGAGGTAGGTATCAGCTAACTCCTGGGTCTATTGGGTTATCCTCTAGCAACCCGGAAGAGAAAACTGTCAGACTCACCAAGAGAGTGGTTGCTTCCACTGATGTCAGTTAGGTAGACGGTCACGGTTGGCTGCCGACGCTCCCCGGGAGCCAGGCCATCAGACGCCAAGAAAATGAAAATTGCCGTAGCCACTCCTGGTCTACTGAAACACACCTAAGCATAAGCATAGATATAGATGAGCCCTTGTTTCCACCAGGCTATCAAGGCATGTACCATGTACCATTGTATTCTTCCTAGACAGCTTACCATTCATAAAATAAGCTTCCTTCCCCTGTACAAATGGGGGAAAAAAAAAACATGGAGTAGGCACAGAAAGGTGCCCAAGGTTGCACTGAAGTCAAAAACAAGATGGAGGCCGGCGCTGTGGCTCACTAGGCTAATCCTCCGCCTTGCGGCGCCGGCACACTGGGTTCTAGTCCTGGCTGGGGCGCCGGATTCTGTCCTGGTTGCCCCTCTTCCAGGCCAGCTCTCTGCTGTGGCCAGGGAGTGTAATGGAGGATGGCCCAAGTGCTTGGGCCCTGCACCCCATGGGAGACCAGGAGAAGCACCTGGCTCCTGCCTTCAGATCAGCGCCGTGTGCCGGCCGCAGTGCGCCGGCCGCAGCGGCCATTGGAGGGTGAACCAACGGCAAAAGGAAGACCTTTCTCTCTGTCTCTCTTTCTCTCTTCCTCACTGTCTACTCTGCCTTTCAAAAAAAAAAAAAAAAAACAAGATGGAAAGAAGATAATTTTAGGCTGAGCCTGCCATCTTTTTCTGAAATGTTTTACCCATTGCACCTGTCTCTTAAATTTCTCACAAAGATCACACAAAGAGACCAAAGCTGGAGACAGTAAGGCTCCACATAACCAGTCAACACTCTCTACCATCAAATGGAAAGAAGTGGACAAGGTGATCGCCAAGCCAACATTAACAAGTTGTTAACAAGCTGAGTTGTTCTGAACTGCTACAGATATGTGTCCCCATCCCTCTAATTTTTTTATCAGTGCCTCTCACTGAGAATGTGGAGTAATGACATGGAAAGAGGTTTTGGCAGAATCTATTGCTCCTGAGATGACAACCTGTCCAACAGTCTATTTTTATACAGTTTATTCAAGCCCCCATCTATGGCTGGAACATGAGCCAACACTGAAGCAAAGCAAATTCAGTTAATAACTGCAAATATTCCTAGATGGTAAGGATGATTAACACTAAAATAGACCTTCAAAGTAAACTATGCAAGTGTTTCACCTGGGACTCTTTTAATGGAAAAAAAAAAAAAGGTGTTTAGAAGCTACAGGATGAGGCATAGCCCCTCGGCTCAGCCTGCAGAGAGATAAGTGCTTATTTACCACATTGGACTTAATTAATGCAGTAACTACTTTGGTTTGATTTCCTATTGCTGAATATTCCTCTTAATTTCTGCTGTGAATAAACTCCAACTTTCTCTGTTGTTATACTGGTGTGATATTAGAATCAGTTGATGGAACTTTCAGAATTCTGTGTGTATTTCTTGGGCTTTTTATGAGGTTTGAGGAGCGATGAAGGCCCAAGAAAGCTATTCTCTGTGTAAAATCAGGGTCCAGCATCTAATGACAGGGATCTCATCCAAAAGTAGGGAGCAGGAGAGTAAGACAGATTTTTCCATTTTAACAAGAATTCTTCCTTGTCCTCAGACTGACATTTCCTAAGTCTTGGAGGCACATTTACAGAGTGCCCATTTGCACTGCTGGCTTAATTAGGGCGATGTTATGATTTGCAGCAGTCAAAGCAGCACAGATCTCCCTTCTTCTCATCTGAGGCGAAGGCCAACCACACTTCCTTTTTATGATGTCTTTTCTTCCCTTTTCATCCCCCCCTTTGAAGTAATAAATATTCCTTCATAACTTTGGAAACATGCAAACCCATAGGTTATAACTTCTAATATGAAGTCCTTTGTGCCTGGCTGGATGAGGGCTAGACAGGAAACACACCCTAAGGTAGCCAAGCGTCTAACTCAAACCCCCTCAACTCCAGCAACAAATGACATCAAAACCCCCTAGGAATTCCCACAACTTCTTCCTTTCCATACACCACAAATGATACCTGAGTATTGGAAGAAAGATCTGGGCTATTTCCTGAGCCAAGAACAGATGGTGTACGTGGTGGGTTTACCCCAGTGGGCCTAAGACCTGAAGAATGAGGTGGCTTCAACAAGGAACAGGAGAGCTCAGTTTCCCCACCTTCAGCTGGATCCCAAAATAGATACCACCCACCTGAAACTGGATAGAAGAGGTAGGCCCTGTGCTGTGGGTTCCTCCACCCAGAGGACCTGCTCCCAGAACATTTTGCATCTCCCAGCAATATGCCTCCTTGCTGGAAGGCCTTCCAACCTGAAAGCCTGCCCCCGGTGGCCTGCGTGATTTGTGGGAAGAAGCTACGCCAGGATTTCCAGGACATGGTGTAAGTAGGAAAACCACAGAAGGGACTTACAAAGGAGACACAGACAGAGGACTATTGAACTACACACAACAAGGAGAGAAAAGGGTTTGATCGAGTTATGGATGCCGCGTGTCGGGCACTTCCTCTTGCAGACCATGGTGCAGCAAGGGCAGCCAAGTGTCACTCACTTGAACCCCATGTGTGCCTCACAACGGCAACTAGAAGCCCAAGAAAGCCTTCACCCTCCCCATGCTGGAGCCGCCGAGACTGATTTGAATAGCCATGCACACTCAGTCCAAGAAAGACAAAAGGCAATCGGATGAATCTGCCTTCCTGGAAAGAGAGTCAGCCAGGCACAGGTCCTGGGTTTGAGTCTTGAATCAATCTTTACTAGCTCGGTAAATCTGAATAACTCATCTCTCCTCCCTGAGCCTGGGGCTCCGTTTTCTGCAACTGAGAAACAGAGATATTACCTATTTATGATTAAGATTAAAGGTAGGGCAGTGCCTAGTGTAAACTAAGGACTCAGTGCTCAGTAATCCTAACTTCCAAGAAGAAATTCTTTTATCCTGTTTACACTGCAGGAAGAAAAGGTTGAAAGAATAAATTTTTAAAATTAAATATAGAACTCAGAGAATTTTTAGGGCAATAAAAAATCTGTGTGATATTATAATGGTGTACAAATACAATTATAAAAATCATTATAAATTTGTTCAAACACAGAATGCCCAAAATCAAACATAAATCTTAATGAAAACCATGGATATCGGGTGATAATGAAGTATCAATATAGTTTCACCAATTGTTAACAAATGTACCACTTTGGTGAAGAGGGTTGCATGTGCCAAATTTGTACCCTCTTTTCATTTTTTCTGTGAATCTAAAAAATCTTACAGAAAATAAAGTCTAAGCAAAAAATTAAATATATATCTGCATGTTTTAATGGAGAGAGAATTGTGCTTCCCTGAAAAATTACACAGGCTTAGAAATTTTATATGTCCTATCTTTCAACTGATGCTCCCAGATATGAGTTATTTCTCCAGGTTTTGTTTCCATAGAAACGTCAATATCTGAGATTGCTGGTATAGAATGTACCTTTGCTTTATGAATGGAATCCAAGAAAAAATACATTATATAAATAGTGTGTGTAATTCTTTTAATAGACTTTTCAGAAAATTCAATTCAACATGTGTTTGTTAAAAATCTGCTACTGCTGTACATAGAGACATAGAATCTTCTAAAATTGACAATGTAATTAGAAAACTAAAATTGCATTCCATATTCAAAGATATTTTAATATATGTATAGTACAGGCTATTTTGCTTTATATGAAATTAATAATGAATTTTATGTTCCTAAATGTGAAAAACAAGTGGCTGCAACTGAATCTTTGGCTACAGGAAGCTCTACTGACTCTATCCACATGTCACCTTTGAACTATACGTGTGAGTCTCCTCTGATCACCACATTGAATGCGTGATTGTTAATGGCTGTCCCCTTCAGGGCAAAGCTCACCTGAAGCACACCTAAGGACCACTCAGATCTAAGATGTGCACTGGGCTCCCCCCTTGAGAAAAATCCAGAGTGTCAGAGAGATAAAAGGATCATTATCTTTAAACTATAACATTTTAATGTTCAACAAGGACATTGCCTTCATGGACTACAAGGGCAATGTGAAAGGAACTTGAACATGCTTTTTGCAAGGAAGAAATACTACAGCTAGCTCTCTGGGAGAACATACAAGGCCATATAGGGAAGTAAGCAAATTTCAAATCCTAAGAATGGTCTAAATATAGAGGGATTGCCAATGACTGCTCATTGAATCTATCACAAAATACTTGGAGATGAAGAGGAAAAAACAGAGTAAATAGAAGGGGGATAGAAAGAAAGACAGACACTGACAGACACATGGGGAAAGCCAGTCCCACACACTCAGTTGCTTTTTCATCCACAGATTGCACAGTAAATACCCAACCTAACCACTAGTTGCTGGTGGTGGATAAAACTGAAAGAATGCCTCTCTACTGCAGAACCCTTGGGGCTTAAGAAATCCCACTGCAGTCTGCCTGCTGGGCCCAGACACACTCAACATGCTCCCAAGCCAAGCATTTCAACTTCCAGGTCATCTTTTGCGGTGGTCACTGGACAGCACACCCTGAAACTATACCACAAACTTGAGAAGAATCTTCCCTGAGGCTTTAAAGTGCTTTGAGTTAGTTACTGTGTGGTTGTTCTTTCTGGGTTTTCCATTTTCACTTGTCTGTGGCACTTCCTGATACCAGAGGGGAAGGGAAGGCTCTTGAGCAGGACAGAGGAGGCAGGCATCCCCTTCTGCTTACATTACAGCAGCACACCCTCGGCTGGGACCTGTATTGAGCTCACTGGGTCTTTAGTCCCACCCGAGAGTTTTGAATTATAGCAGCCCCGGGGATACAAAGATTACATTATGGAGTGGTAAGTGGAATTCTAAAACTTCCTGTAGGTAAATAATAGATGGGAAAGAACTGGGGTTTCCCCACTTTGAGTTCTGTACACTTCTGATCGTACCCATGTTTTTAATTTGAGATGTACTGGGAACAATAGATTCCTTAGAAAATTTACTGAGATTTTGGCACTCTTGCCCTTTCAAAAATGAAGTCATATAAGCATCTTAGGAAATGGAAAGCTACTGCGGTTCCAGCAGGGGGTCAACAGAAATCAGATTAAGAATTCTTGCTCTGTGAGTTGAACCATGTGCCTTTTCTTCAGGTCCTCAC